AAACTAACCAAAACCCTAACAATATAATAAAAAGAATAAAAATTAAATAAAAAGAGAGTAAAAATTTAATAGAAAACGCAAAACTCAAAAGATGGAAGGCGAACCTGGCGGACCAGAGCTAAAGCCCTTGTCAAAAGAGTCGGAACCACCATTCTCAACCCTAGCACGCTTAGCATCGCCGCCGTTCAACAACCGAGCGGCGATCTCCTGCGCCTTCTGCTTGGCCAGCTGGAAATCTTCCATGGGCGGAGGAACGCTGCTGTACGACGTCGGCACAGAGTCGGGGGACGATGACTTGATGGGGGCCGAGAAACCGGTGACTCTGCGAGTGGACGGCGGCGTTTGCTCCTCGTACTTCCGCTTGTTCCCTGAATCAGGACCGGATGAGTATTGGGCTTCGTCGGCCATTGTCGTAGAAACCCTAGAAGAGAGAGAGAGAGAGAGAGAGAGAGAGAGAGAGAGGAGAGAGAGGAGTGAGGGATAGGGTGAGGTGGAAAAACACCGGTTGGATATTTATACGTAAGGATATTTTCTTAAAAAAATTAATGAAAAAAATTTAAAAACTTTTGAGTTTTAATCAAAGTATAAAAAAAATTATTGTTTGTAAGATTAAAAATGATGTTTTAGAATAAAAATATTTTAGCGTTAAAAAATGAACATTATTAGTTTTGTAACACTCCTTTTTTTGGCCAAACACCTTTGCTTGCGTACGGGAATAAGGGTCTCTTAATTTTACCGGACGGAAAGCGAGTGGTAAAACTGTAAAAGTGAAAAGAATTTGTGGGGTTTTATACCCGTTCTTTTGGTCAATTAGTTTTATTTTTCTATTTGTAAGTAAAATGTAAAAAAAGTTTATCAGAGAATAATTCTCATATTACACGATTATATAGACTGTTACATACCATTATGTTTATTTGTATGTGACGAGAACATCATATAAGATTTACGTTTTAACTAGCGCGAATACCGAATAAAATAATCTAAGCAATAAGCACGATCATTCGGAGAAGCAAAAGTTAATGTTGAGTTTTGTAATGCTTATCTTTTTATTTTTTAAATTTTACTATTATTAAGAGGAGGTGAAAGTTTGAAACTATTACATTAATTAGAGGAGAGTTTCAAATTCGAGATGCATTAGTAGAAATTCAACACCCTACTTATTAAGATATAGCACTACATGCCGGGAGGATTGATAATCCATAATGTCCTGTTTGTTGAATGGGATTGGACTTGATCAGGAGGTTAAGATTGAATTGGACATGATAATACTAAGCTATGTTTTACCCTTCTTAATAAACAAGCCAAAATGATCGTATGATTGGGGCTACCAAACACGGAGATTCTGAGTCCAAATCTCATGCATCGAAAGGTCCCAGATTTGAGTCCCAAGCTTCCAGAGGTCCCAATCCCCGGCATTTGGGTTCGGGAGATGGGGTTCATGTCCCGCACGTTGAAGTCCTCGGGCACCTAGGTGACCGGGTTGTGTCTTCAACACCTGACCTCCGAGTCGAGTCCTAGAACCCTTGGACCAGTCTCAGACAAGAAGATTTCCAACAATAATATGACTACGAAACTGAAATCACAAACTAAAGGGTTTACGAAAAACACGGCTACATTACTTAATCCCGGGTTAAACAAAAAGTATAAGCAGCTTCCAACAATCAATCAAACAAGTAGCTAAACATGGGAGATTAGTTCAAGCACCCAGATTGAAACAGAAAAAAGTTTTACAGAATCTGTGGCTACTATTATAGCTCCAAAACGACGGAAATATGCAGAAAGCACAATACAGGACACCCTGGGATCTAAAATTTATAACACGTAAATGCAAAATCTCTCCCTTTACATGGTGCTTTGCCAGGGCAAACCTCCCCTGATAGACTTATTATTGGATAAATATAGCAAAAGCAGCCCCCCAAAAAAAAGATGAAGGTCCTCACTTGGTCCACCAAAGGAGGAAATCCTTGCGCCGGTTGATTTTCTTCTGCAGCTGGAGAAGGCCATAGAGTAGGGCTTCGGCGGTGGGAGGGCAGCCTGGAACATAGATATCAACGGGTACGATCCTGTCACAACCCCTAACAACAGAATAGGAGTAATGGTAGTAACCACCTCCATTTGCACAGCTTCCCATGGAGATGACCCATCTCGGCTCAGGCATTTGGTCATAAACCCTGCAACAAAATTTAGCATAAAGATCAAAACAATTCATACCTCTTTGTTTACTTGTGCAAACATTACAAAAATGCCTAGACTGAAAGGTTGGCGAGGAGCTTTTAACTCCCAAAATCAAAGGCAATTATGCACTTTCCAAAAGAAATTCCTAAGAAATCACATCCATCAAAAGACACAACACAGTAGTTTTTTCTTCGATACAAGCGATATTGTGGAGGGCAAATCCCATGCATTGAAAGACACAATCCTCTTAACTATTTGAGCTACAACCCCCTTGGAACTAGATTTTGTTATTCAATAGCTAATACATTTTTTATATGGGAATTGTTATTAACACTCCAAAAATCTCATTCTACACTCCTCACAAGTGTATTTTTCTTTCTAATTATAGAATGTTTGGAGTGCCAAATGAGATTTTTGGAGTGCTAATAACAATTCCCTTTTATATTCGAGCGATAATCTTGTCTATAATCTAAACTAGAGGGGGGTCGAACTTGATGGGAGCGGGAGCATACTGCTCTAATGAACTTGGCTAATCACCATAACCAGCACTTTCATTGGCAAAATGCATATCCTAAGTCCTAATAACGAACTGGAGGAGAAGGGTGTACATGTTATTCCCATTTAATCGGAGATTTCCTTAAAATTGAGCTTAATCAAAGCCCCCAATTGTTCCAATTTGAGATTACATTAGGTAAATACAAATCTAATTATCACCAAAACATTTTCTAAGCTCAAAAATCCAGAAACCCTAAAACTGAGATTCAGAAAATTGAGAGGGAAGGAAGGGGTTGTTGCTTACTTGCGGAGAGCGGGTGCCATCTTGTTGGTGAGAGTGCCGGCGACGATCATGCAATCGGACTGGCGAGGACTGGGCCGGAAAATGATGCCGAATCGGTCCAAATCGTAGCGGGCAGCTCCGGTGTGCATCATCTCGACGGCGCAGCAGGCGAGGCCGAAGGTCATTGGCCAGATGGAGCCGCGGCGGGCCCAGTTCATGAGATCGTCGACCTTCGAGATCACGAACTCGGCGGCCTTAGAGAGGCCAGGAGGGGGCGGGGAGGCGGAAGGGGGAGGAGGGCGGGCATAGGTGGCGGGAGTGGAGCCGGAGGGGGCGGAGGACGAGAGGGAGGGGACGGTGGTGTGGAGAGAGAGGGCCCGCTGGGCCGAGAGCTGGAGAGGGATGCGGGCTCGGGTCAGCAGAGCCATGACCGTGGAGCTTCGGAGGAGCAGAGAGAGAGAGAGAGAGAGAGAGGGAGGAGAGTTTTGGGGAAAGCTGAAATATTTAGCCTGAAGCTGTTTTCTCCGTGTCAGTTTTGCATCTGGGAGTGAAGGACAATTTCTAATTTTCTTAGGATTAGTCTATTTTTTAGGTTGCTAATTGGGATTTTACGTTTACCCCTTTTTGGACTTCTATATTTTGGATTTTCATGAGATTTTGCAATCCTTTTTTAATATCAGAGATGCGCTATCGCACAACTTATTTTTACTTCCAACCCATCATTTGTTCATTTATATTATTTGATATTCTTCAATTCATTTGATTCAACGATCGAAAATGAAAAAGTGTGTGAGAAGTAAAAAATAACGAGTAAATAGAACCACCATTCAACATTACCTCGGAAATATTACTTATTCCAGTTTGCCTACTGAACTTTTAATTTGGGTACAAATTTTGTCCGTTGAGCTTTTAATTTGGTTCTAATATTTTAGAACGTGCTAATTCGCTTTTACTATCAATTATGAAATTATTCCGTTAAATTTAGAATCATTTTCATCAATTTAATAGAAAGAGAACTAACAAAAATGTAATAAATTTGAAAAAAAAAAAACTAATTGGCAAATTTGCACATTTTAAGAGTCGAAGGGACAAATCAAAAGAAGTCACTAGATTGAGAGGGCATAGCTAATTTATGGTTTTCACGTGATGTTCATCAAATACTAGTTAAAGGGTACATGAAACCGACTTAAACTATCACGACTTGAGTTGCTACTCAGCTGTTTATAAACTTTTAAGCTGCCAATGTGGCAAAATTGAGACCATCAAACAAAGGTCCACCGCCGTGCCTAACGTCCATCTCATAGTAAAAGCTTCACCTTTATGATGTGGGAGAACCACTTTCATGCATCCGTTGTACGACACAAATCTTTCACAAATTGTACTACTCACGTAATACAATAAGTAGAATCTGTTACACGAAATGAATCTCTCACAAACTGTGCTACTCACGTAATACAACAAATGTGATCAGTTGCATGAAACGAATTCTCACAGCGAGCTACTCACGTGATACAACAAAAATTACCATACCACATAGGAAAGACTTCAACGCAGTAAATTTGTGAAAATTATGCACAGTATATAAAAAATGAATGGGAAATCGGGCTTACAAGCCTTTTACAAATACACTAGGGTATCATCTCCGGATCTAAAAAAAACGGAACCTAAGGATTAAATGATCCGGGCCATTGAAATTTGATCCAACGGTTACAATTATTATAACCGTTAGAGGATCCCTTATTTGTAGCCGTTAGATCAAATTTTAACGGACCAAATCATTTGATCCTTAGGCTCCCTTTTTTTATATCCGGAGAGGATCTGTACTCAATACACTAACCAAAACTAGCCCTCCTCAAAGAATGCAATCTCTACTTGTCCTCTTTGACGAAAATACCCTAAGATTGAGTCAATAATCTACCAATATTGCGTCGGTAATGAGTATTTTCATCAAAGAGGGCATTTCGATTTTTGGTTGGTGGGTTTGAAAAAGGGCTACTAACCCCAATTTTCCAAATCAATTCACAAGGGTTTGGAAAACATAAACAAAAAGAGGAAAAGTTCACATATGCTTGATAAAATAGTGGTTTAAGAACAAGAGAAAAGTTTGCTACAGTTCCTAGCCCCCAAAGGCTATACTAATGCCAGCACAAACTAAACGAAGGAAGCACCTAATTCACCAAAACTAGTCCATATGCTTCGATATTGTGACCGAACCTCGTACAATATAGAGATGATCAGTTTGCCTACACCAAAAACATTTACCTAAAACAATAAACACCAGATAACCAGATGAATTAAGACCGACAAATCTTTGATTCCGAGTGAAACTCTCCAAAGGAACCAATACTGGCTAAACAAAGAAAATCAGCAGACTCTGAAAGAGGGGGAAATAATGGTTAGAATAAAAACAGTGATAAAAATTTCACAAACCCTTTTAACTTTACTTCAAATAATACAAGGTTCAAGTCAAGGCCCACTACAGCTTCTCCCCGCTTCAGGATATAGGACCCAATTGGTTTCTACTGTGGCAGCAAAGGTATTTTTTCGGTAGGCTGATGAGCTAATATCACATCTCTTCAACTAAAAAGACACAATTAGGACTACAGTATTCTCCTTACGAGTTACCATAAACAGCAAGGTATCGCCTGTATGGGAGGGGCAGATACTACTTTCTTCTTGAAAATGTTGACATCAGCAAAAATTTTGTAGTTAGGTAGGGCGCAGCTAACATCACTAACCGGAGAAGAAGGCAAGCAACCTTTTGTCAATAGAAATCGGAAGAGCTTTGCCGGCCAAGACAGACAACTTTCCGTATTACTTTGACGCATAATACATGTATAGGGTGTCTGAAGCAGCACAGGCTATTAAATCCTCAGAAGGGTGCCATGCAAGATGTAGCAACTTTGTTGTGAAGTCAAAAGAATTTCCGTTTGCATCAGCTCCAGAGTTATCCGGATCAGCTCCAGAGTTATCCGCACCTTTTATGTTACAATGGAAGCACATACCTCGCCTGAGAACACGACGAAGGTTGCCCAAAGATCTAGAAGGCCTTGCAGGCGTTTGAACTTGTCTCCTGGAAGTTCATGAGAAAAATTATAAGCACATTTGACCAAGAGAACAAAAGAAAATAAACAAGAGTTTTTCTTGGACCAAAATGATACTATGCCCTAACAATAGCATGCCTGACGAGCATATATAGAATTTAAAAAAGATACCTCAGGGGGTTTTTGCTGGCCTCCAATGTTGTTGCTTCTGTGCTCCCTTCAGAACAACCAAACACTCGAAACAGATTGCTGGAATCACAGAAATGTGTTTCTTCATACGTTGAGTCCCACACTACTTAGGTCAGGGAGTAAGTACAAAAGCATCAAAGGATGTGTATGGTGTAAGTCTAACCTGTAAGAACCTGTTGCCACTCGGTGTCCATCTCCACTTAGACAGCACTCAAACTTATCGAAGATAGAATCATTTTCGTATAAATCACAGAGCTGAGAAAGGTAAAGAACTTAATAAGTTGCATTGTATGGTATTACTTAATTGGTCTCGTCTTCTTTTAAGATCACATGTGATCAAACAAACTTTTTGAAGGAACATATTACCTTTGGTCTTAGATGTTCATGAACCTGGAAAGTGGCAACTGGGCCAGAATCCATGTTGATGTCCCATAACTGAGAAACCCCAAAAAGAAAAGGTGAGAACAAAAATTGTAACGGACAGGGTTAAGAATCAGAGAAATCTGAAGACAAGAAGTAGTTGCAATGCCCAAACTCACCACAAGCACAAAATTGAAAATCATGATATCACGTACTAACTCTAAACATCACAGTAACAACATTAGCATATTTTAGCTGAGGAAGCAACAGAAACAGTGAGATATTGGGGGCTGCACCCATAGAGGGCACTGCCCACGTCACCAGTCCACTGTAAGGAAGGCAGGGAAAGAGGGATGGCACAAACAGTGAGATATTGAGGGCACCCATAGAGGACATTGGCCATGTCACCAATCCAATGGAAGGAAGGAATATTTTAGCCGAGGAATCAACAGAAACAGTGAGATATTGAGGGGTGGCACCCATAGAGGGCATCACCCATGTCACCAATCCACTGAAAGGAAGGGAAGGAGGGACGACAGAAACAGTGAGATGTTGAGGGGTGGCATCCATAGAGGGCATTGCCCGTGTCACCAATCCACTGGAAGGAAGGGAGGGAGGGAGGGAAAATAAGGTTTTTAAGTGTTTGTTACTTGCAACTTTGTTTCTAGGACAAATGATACTGAAGTTTCTAAATATTGGAAGTATGAACCATCTTATTATAAGAGTATGACTATATGAACCTTAAGAGTCATGTAATCCCGACTTAGTATATGTCTTCCGTTCTGAGCAAACTTAATATCTGAAATTGATGCTAGTAATTCAGTGAAAAAAGATCTTGAGCCGGGCACTTCTTGTTCTTCAAACCTGCACCGTTACAAATCATAATTACGATTCAAAGCAAACCAAGAAAATTAAAGACAGCAAAAGTGTCAGAAAGATTTCTCATACATTTATTTTATTATAATACTAAATCATCTTTGATGAGTGCAAGAATGGAAGGAAGGAAGAATGAAAGATGACTCACAATTTGCAATGAGTGTCACATAAAGCTGACTGCCGCAGATCGATAAGACGAATTGAGCCGTTTGTGCTACTGTACGCCAACATGTTACAATGAGTAGGGTGAAATTCTGCGGATGTTATCGCCTCTGCACATAAATTGCAAGCATGTAAGGATAAATAATTACACATGTGGAGCTGTTTGACAAACAAAGCATATAAATAAGGCATAATTCAAGTTTACTACATGGCGAGAACATTTCAGCAATCCAAACCTAATGAAAGGGAGATCAAAGTAAATAGAACAGATGAAATCTAAGAAAGACATAAGAGCATGCCATTTAATGAAACATTATCCAGAATATGACTGAATGGAAGACCAGGAGCCTTGGAAGCCGGCAAACATTATCCAAATAATTGGGTCAAGGTTATGTCTACTACCATTTCTCTTCAAATGATAGTTAAAAGCTAGGAAAGTAAGCAATTGTCATCATAGTGTTGTGGGTTCTACCAGTTGGATCCTCCATGTTTACCGGCTTCATGTCAACAATATTAAAACTTTGATTGCTAATCTCTAGGTTCCAAAGATTAATTCGAAGGTCATCAGCTGATAAAAAAATTTCACCACCGCTGCAAAACCAAAAGATAGCTACATTATTAGTGACCAGAAGATGGAAACCTTGTTAGATTATATCCATGCAATAATACCAAAGAATATACTGCCTAATACATATAAGCAAGACTCGACATCGAAGATAAATCTTTTTCATCTAGTGACATAAATTGTTCTTTAGTGTCACCGTGTGCTACAGAAACTGGTTTTTTTTTTTCTTTTGGGGGTGGGGGAAGTCCGACAACTACACAATTGGCTCCTCCATGATAAGGTAATAAAATAATAGAATTTTCAAATAGGAGCACAAGCATCAAGGCAAACACTGACACTACACAAACAAGATTAAAAATAGATGAAAAGGTGAAGGCATATTCCATTGAAAAAAAAAGATGTACCTGTTATTTGAAATCGAATTAATATGATAGTCATGAGCTTTGTCATAGAGTCTTCGACATCTAGCCACATGGCTCGTCCACATCTTGATCTCCTGGATGTCCACAAATGGTCCAAGTGTGGACAAGATAAATAATAGGTATGTCATTTTAAAGTAAAGGAAAAAAATGATTGATGACTCACATGAAAAAAAAATTAAGCAAAATATCGGCAAAACCAAAAAAAACGAAACTGTCAAACTGACGAAATAAATTTAATGTCATTGCTGCAAGGCTGGAAATGAAGTTTTGAGCTGCAACATGCTCCATTTGCAAGATACGGTTTTGAGCTTGCTGACATAGAACTAGCAACTGCGCCATTTTCCATAGATTTAGCCCGGTTTAGCGTTAAGGTGATTTAAAAAAAAACTGGTATGAAAAAAAGTTGGAAGATTTTTGGTGTTTGGTAAACATCCCAAAATAGCTTTATTTCAAAATTTCAGATGAAAAAATGCCAAAAAGTGGAAGCTGCAAGAAGCAGCTTCAAGAAGCGGCTTATTATACAAAACATGGAGCTACAGTACTTTGTTAATGAATTGTTCTAATTTGCCAATACTGCCCCCTCCTTTCTCCTGATTCCTCAAAACACTCCGCACGCCCCTCTTCCCTCCTGCTGCTGCACAACTCCTCATTTTCCTCTCTCTCCGTCGGTCTCAGCGCCACACCGCCGTCGCCTTCCAGGTAGCAGGTACTCGAATTAATTTAATTTTTAGGTTAGGGTTTGGCTGCTCTCTCCAGTTTGCTTCTATTTTTGTAGTTTAATTTTAATTCAGGGTTTGGTTCTAGCAGCTAACATGGATGATGAACCGATTTTTTTGGGGTTTTCTGAAACAGGGTTTATTTGGCAACCAACGAACGAGCTCGATCTCATTGATTAGGTAAACATAACTCTCTCTCTCCCTCTCCCTCTCTCTCTCTCTCTCTCTTCCATCGTTGAAGCAATTTCAGTTTTGGTGTTTGAATTAATGTTCTAATTTTCAGTTTTGGGGTTTGAATTAATTCTCTAAATTTCAGTTTTGGGGTTTGAATTAAGGTTCTAATTATTATCATGAGATCCATGAAGCAATTTCAGTTCTTAGGGTTTAATTTTTGTTTATGTACTTTGTTTGTTTGTTTGTTTGTTTCTTAAACACACTACCTGTTTCCTGCAATGTGGGTTTGTTTTTTCACATGGGTTATCTTTAAATTTGAGATTTTCTCCTTTTCATTCCTCTGTGTGTGCCGATATGAAATGTTGTTGAGCAGTCTTTTGTGTGGGTGTTTTTTAGGAGTGGAGAGTTAAAGCTTCCCACTTTTTGGGGTTCAATTGTGGTTTCTGAAAGTTTGATCCTTTTGAGCACCTCTTCATTCCATTGTTAGTTTAGCTGATTGCATATATATAGTTGCAGGTAGCAGCTGACAATTACTCTTTAAGTTTTGTGGGGGCATGCCTTTGATTTTATAGCAGGCAGCGTTAGCAAAGTCATTATTTGTTTCTGCTTGCTGTTACTCACAAGTATTACTTGTTTCCGGCAATGTGGGTTTGTTTTTTCACATGGGTTATCCAATGGCAATTGTGACTGAGCAACAACTACGAATTCACTGCATCTATATTCTTTTTCATGCATATGCTAGATGCATTATATGTTTATTCGGTATATCAAAGGGAATGGCTGAATCATGATTATCATTGAAAACCTCCAACACACACACACACATATATGATTGCGAGTTGCTTCTGCTTATGTTAGGTTTACTACCTGTTTTCTGCTTGGTTATCAATATTATTTGTTCTTGTTTTAATATATGTATATATATATATATGTATATATACAAATCACTAGTTGGTATCAATGGCAAAGAAGGGGGCATCTTCGTCAAATCCTACAGCTACATGGAATGCCCACAATATATCTATATTTTGTGATGTATGCATCAAGGAGGTTGAGGCCGGACATCGTCCGGGCACTCACTTTGACAAAGATAGATATGCAAATATTAGAGCTAACTTCAAGGCAAAGACAGGACATGATTATGAAAGAAAGCAACTGAAAAATAAATGGGATGCACTTAAAATGAGTGGAAATTGTGGAAAGAGCTAGTTGGTAAAGAAACTGGCCTAGGGTGGAATTCGAGCAAGGGTACCGTTGATGCTTCTGAGGAGTGGTGGAATAATAAAACTCAAGTTTGTGTATTTATCTTTTAATATGTATTATGATATCATGCAATATGTATTAGCCATATTCTTTCTTTACTTGTAGATAAACAAAGAACATGGAAAATTGCGAAAAAAGGGCATTAGTCCTGAGATAGAGGAAAAGTTAGATAGGATGTTCTCGAACACAGTTGCTACGGGTGAACATGCCTGGGCACCTTCATCTGGAGTACTACAACCAGAGACGAGAGGAATCCATAGGACAAATTGATTTAGATGATGAGGAAGAAAATGAGACTATGCAGGATCTAAGGCAAGCTACTAGGAAGGGAAAAAAAAGAGCAGCTAACCAAGGAGAATTGCAAAAGAAGAAGGTTGATAAGAAAGGGAAAAAAATTGGAGGTGCTGCAAAACTTTGTGGTCAAATTGACCGCCTTGTTGAAGTTTATGAAAGTAGGAGTTCTACAAACTCATTGATGAGGCTGCTACATACAGGCTGTAGTATTGCGGAAGTGATAGTGTCTGTTGCACAATTGCCTGGTTGTGAGCCACCTAGCAGAAGTGATAGTGTCCTTCCACAATAAAAAAATTAAAATAATTATATCTTAAGTTGTTGTACTGCCTACTGGAAGGCATAACAATTCATCCACTACACTCTGCATGTGCGTATGCGCGTGTTTATCCCAAGAATAATGTATAAAATGAAATGGCTGAAGTAATCGCCATCTTTGTTCCGAACAATATATAAATGGAAAGGGCAATGCAACTAATGTCGCTAAAATTACTCTGGACGATGTGATATCGAGAGAAATCATCTTTTATAAAATAACCACATACGAGTTCAAAAGGTTGGTGCTACCTTCCAGTATTTGATGGTTTTGCTACTAGTGGAGAGGAGAAACAGTGCACCGTTAGCTGTTTGACACCATCTGATCTTGTTGATTGTTTCCACAATTTCCAAGTTCTTATAATAATCTAACTGAGTTCAGGAAAAACCAAGTAAGATGCAAGTTAGGATGCAAGTTAGTCAAATCCAGATTCCAGCAAAGAGGAAATCTTCATAAGCCTATTTATACTTGTCCTCGTTAAGCACAAAGAAAGTCATACCTTGGGTTCATGACTTTGGAATTCAGTTTTATAGCGGAACTCAGGATGCCCACTGATTGAATAATCCATCCTCTCCAGATCTCTCCGGTGTCCACCATGCTAATTATTTAAGTTTATACCATCAAAGTACAACTAAATCACACCAGTGTAACAAATATAACGGCATATTGAGTACAAGGAAAATGCACATCCATGCCCCAAACCCCTCAAAAGAAAAATGTATTAACTTACATCCTTTATATCAGTTCTTTCAAATAAAACCACCCGGCCTCCACGATCTCCAGCGGCAAGGTGGTCCCCCGTTCTATCAAATTCAATAGCGGATATTACATCAACTGCAAAAACAACCAGCAAGTAAGCAAACCTAAGTAATTCTGCACCAAGCACTTCAATGCCCTCAAACACTCTATAAAGTATCTTTTTCAGAAATTCAAAAGCGGGTATATAAGAATAGCTATTGATCGCAAATGACGCGTTCTTCACACTTGATTAACAAGTTCACTTATTTCTCAAATCTAGGGCCTTTAAGTTTAAAAATATAGCTCTACATGTATCGATTGCAACAATATGTTCGAAAATGAATCCCTATACTAATCAACATCATAGCTCGTTTGAAAGTGCTTTTAAAATGATTGAAAATTTTTTTGGTGAAAATGTTTTTAGAACCAACCCTGAGTGAAAATGGAAGTAAATTATTGAAAAACACTTAAAATGTTTTCTGAACGATGCACATAACTAGTGGTTCTTACAGAAAGTCCTTCAAGTGTTTTTAGAACCCAAACACATTTTTTCTAAAAGTGCTTTTAATTATTTTGAAACACTTCAAAATGTAGTGAATTAAATTAAAAGAAAAATAAAAACTGACAGCTACACAAATAGACAACCTCCAAATGTATAGCTTAATCAATAATAGCCACAAAACCACCAGCCAATAACTTAAGTATTCAGCTCAAATGCTTCGGTCATCAAAAGACCAAACTTTTTCGATTAAATTTCATTGGCGTCTCCCGTCATTCAATACACAATTTCTGCAACAAATCATCCGCTACATGTATTTAACATTAAATTAATAGTATTAAACGTAATGAGAACGAAAGCAATAGTGAATCCTTAACAATACGAAACGAAACGAAAATCAGGGGAAGAGTATTACTCTTACCTTCCTCAACTTCTTCGCCGGCGGTCCTTTCTCCGAAGACCTGCGAAAACTTCCACTCGAGCGGCGATACGGCCGCCCCTGACGTCGCCGGAGCCGCGAGGCCCTCTCCGCAGCAGTTCATTTGTTTATTCCAAAAAAATCGACTAGAAAGAGAGAAGAGAAATCAATGAAGAAAAATCGACTAGGAGACGTAGCTTTTTAGTTGACTTCGTGGATGTCCAAATAATTCAGCGTCCTCACTATTGATATATATATATATTTTTTAATGTAGCACTTTTTATTGTTGAAATTTTATAATTGAAATGGTTCGGCAGTTAATATTATGGTTTAATGGTGTTTATTTTTACTTGTAAATAAGAGGTTTTTGTTGAGCCATATATTTTCATAAAGAAAATATATTAGCAAGTTTTATAAAGATGGAGATACATTAGAAAAAATAGTAGTCCAAAACGTGGACCGACTAAAAATAAGGTTCACATTATATATATTAGCATTTGCCTACACATTTTGTGTGTATGAACATATTTTTTTAGAAAATAAGAAGGAGAGAGGGGGAGAGAGAGAGTACGTGGAGGGAGTGGGAGGTTTTTTTTTTTTTTTTAATATTGGAGGTATTTTAACAGTAGGTGAGACTTAAAAAAAACAACAAAATTTAGTTGTGTGAATTACATTTCTGCCCAAAGACTAAAAAATAGAGTTCTTGTCTATCCAGAACTCTCCTAAGCTCCCACATCTCAACTCAGTAAAGTGATGGCCTTCCTCAACTTCCCCACACCCCGGGAAAGTAGAACACGTAACAGAAAATGGAAGAGGTTAATGGAACTGCTCCTTGCGTTTATAAAAAGGGGAGGGCACACGACAAAAGCATACGGAGGAGAGAAAAACAAAAAAAACGCTGCAGAAATTAAGAGACAACAGAAAAGAATATATGGCAGAAATCTTCAGAAAGTTGAAGAGCAATCAAAGAAGTAAAGTGTTGCAGAAATTCTAGGAGACAAGGGCAAACAGAGAAGAGGATACATGGCAAAGGAAAGCAACAAAGCATTCAAAGGCACAAATCCATCCTTCTAAATCTTTATTTGTTTGGTTTCTCTCGGCTTTGCAGGAAAAAGAAAAAGAAGCAATTTGCTTCTTCAATGCTATCCGCTCCCCGCCGCTGCCATTAGTCCCATGAATTTCTTTGGGGTGGTCTAAACCACCCCGTGAAGTTCCAACCAAGTCTAAGTGATCCACTCCCTGCCGCTGCTGTCAACTCCATGAATTTCTTATGGGTGGTCTAAACCACCCCTGAAGTTCCAACTAAGTCTAAGTGATCCGCTCCCCGCAACTAATGCTCTTAAAAATCAGATCGTCAACGTCTCTTTCGGTAATTGCACCGGCTTGGTGTTGAAGAACAAAAAGTGGTCTACCTGTTAAAGAAACCCTGAAGATAGCCAACAAAAAAAAAACAAAGATGAAGCAAGCAGCAAACCTACATGAAAATATTTAGGTACCAAATCCGTGCAAATCTTGGATGCCATATTCATCCAGTGGAAGGCTCAAAATCAGCTTCGTCTCTTCTCACAGCTACTGACAGTCTGTAGATGGGAGACCGCACAAATAAGGAGTGCGTTCAGGCTCATCTGCTATGTAATGTCCACCAAAAATGGTGCATGTTGTTGTCCAAGTCAGTAGTAGCAAAAAGAAGATTTGCAGAAAAGGGATTTTCAATTCCCTCCTCTGCGCATCATTGGTCGTCTTACAAAGTGTTGAAAGAAAGTAGCAAGTCCCTCAATTTCCATAGCAGAGTGATTATTGTCGCAATTTTTTTTGTGCACAGAGAAGAGTCCTCGTGCCTTTCTCTCTCAAGTTCACACATGGTGGAAAAGCCATCTCAAAGACTTAGTTTTTTCTAAAAAGAAACAAGTTGTTGGGCTGCCATATTTTAATTTATAAGAATTCCATTATTTCTTATAAGTCAGCTTGATGCCAGATATGGAGCAAAAAATAATCAAGAGGCGACACGTGGATTTTTAGGTGAAAAGGATAAAATTACCCTCGAGACACACCTGGTTTCTTACACGCGAGCAGTGGAGAATCATTTATCAACCGAGTCAAGAGTGCCCAAAAATAGGTAACAAGTTCAAATTTATCTCATCCATCTTTACTCCATATCCTTTACAAGGAAATCGTTCCATAACCTTCAAAACCTTCCGCATAAATTACATAACCTCCCAAAAACATACCTTTTATTATGTTAATTAGCCAATTAATATATTTATTCCTAATCAATATATTAATTGCTAATTAAATCACCAAATAACACCCAAAATATACATAAAGGACCAACCATGCCCTATAAATATGACTCACTTTTCTCTAAAAAGGGAGGTTCCACACGCTTGCAAAACTCTCAAAAAACTCTCCAAACACTTTTCTCTCTAAATTCTAACTTTGGCATCGGAGGTTCTTCGGCCAAAGCCCCCTATTCATCATGGGTGCGTGAGGCTCTTGGGCTTGACCCTAAGGTGTTAATTGTTTTGTAGGTGCAATTTTGTTCAAGAAAAAGGAGGCGGAAATTTGCATCCACAAATTGGTGCTTTCATTAAGAGTTGAGATCCATACTCGTAGAAGACTCTCGCATAAAAAAGTTTTTCTCTATTTTCTAGTCCATTTGAATATTTTTCATACGTTCTTATTATTATAATTTTTTATTTACAAAGGTTCTTTGATAAAACGTATAAGAAAAATATAATGGCTAGAAATTTAGAAAATTCCACAAGTGAAAATTCTAATACTCAAGAAATGGGACCGAGGCAATCCACGAGGCTAAATGTGGTCATAGGCGGAGTGGTACCACCACTACGAGGTTCCACTATGGCCCAAGCCATGCCATCCAAGCTTGCACGGGCCCAGGCCCAAGCCTCGCATTCGCATGCATCACGCACTGAGCAGCCTGCTTCCGCCGAGCAGCCCACTCCCGTGGCTCAGCCTGCTCCCACCGAGCAACCTGCTCCCGCTGAGCAGCCCACTCTCGCGGCCCAGCCTGCTCTTGTGGCCCAGCCTACTCCCGCGGCCCAATTTGCTCTCGTGGCTTTCCAAGCAGCTTAAGTCGGCCCAAGATTATCTCAACCATCCAGACCTACCATCGAGTCGGAGGCATTCTTACCACATTTTTCCGTGAATTTGACATTTCCCAATTCAAATCTCATGCCCGGAGTCTACCACCCTTCCACTGCCCAAGGAGGCACATTCCTTTCAAGTTCTTCCAATCTAAGTGGCGAACAACACTTGTCTCGACAAGTCATAGAGTTGACGAGCGCCCTTGCACAACAAACGACCTTAGTGAACCAGCTCTTGCAGCGCACCAAGATGCAATGTGCCCCAGACAAGGTCTCCCGAAGTAGGACAAGGGCAGACGAAGAACCTCTCCAGCAATGTCCTGGTAAGCAGCCACTCGACCAACTACGAACCGAGCGTTCTGGCGGTGTACATTCCTGACTGGGCCTTCGAGATAACGTATACTCCCGTCTTAATGTGCAGAGGAGCGTGCACTCTTGATTAGGCCCACGGACGAACATACACTCACGGTTGGGGCCACACTCCGATAATCAACATGAGCAACCTTCTAGGCAAAGTGTTCATTCGTGACAAGGCCCGCAAGAAGCATCATCCACCTTACATCGGAGTAGGCAGCACAGCGGACGGAGATAAGCAATCACTCAATCCAGCTCAAGTTCAACCAGTAGCCTGCGAGTTACTTGCTCTCTTGCTAGAAACATACCATATCGACCGCAGCCGCGGCATAGACGAGTCAAACACATGAAAGAGCAGCTTAGACCAGCAGGTCACGACCGAGGGTAGCCGAGGGCTCTGCCACCCCTAACAAAGGTAAATTTAGAAAGAAGTAGAAATACTCATGACCGAGCGATTGTGTGATTTCCCGTGCAACGAAGCTATTGACAAAGCACTTTGATGAGACATGACCAACATAAGCGAGTTATCTTTCAATGACAAGATCGAGCAAATGGGACTACCCCTCATAGATTGCCGGATATAAAGACTTTTTCTGTTACGACACGCCGGGGGCAGACGAGTACCATAATGACACACCAGCCTGACTACCAAGAACCTGGGGCAGACCTTGTTCTCAATACTCCAGACAATTCCTCCCGCTGCGCACAACCTGGCCCAAGCCAGCCCCATCTCTGATTTCACAACCACGCATGCCTGCTCCACGGCTTCCAGCAGCCATTGATCTATCATCATGGCTCATATCTGTGCCAATATTGCACCGTGGCTCCTAGCTATGCCAATCTTGCCATATGGCTCGTGCCAACCAAGCCTAAAAAAGGCACACGACGAAACACCTAATGATGGCACAATAATTCTGGGAGCAGCTCACTGCGCTTACACCCTTACGCGAGATCCACAAACAGTTTGAAGTCTCAAACAGATCGCCAAACATGACCTCGCAGGCTAAGGATTATTTCGATTGTCCCAGCAGTTCAGTTTTCCTGAGCTGCACTCACGACAACGACTTCCATGCTCTCCAGTACGAGAGAGTAAACCAATTCCCCGACACCCATATGGGTCTACTCTCCAGTGCGAGAGGATAAACTAATTGCTCTCCAGTGCGAGAGGGTAAACCAATTCCCCGACACCCAAAAGGGTCTGCTCTCCAGTGCGAGAGGATAAATTAATTGCTCTCTAGTGCGAGAGGGTAAACTAATTCATCAACACCCATATAGGTCTGTTCTTTAGTGCGAGAGGATAAACTAATTGTTCTCCAGTGCAAGAGGGTAAATTAATTCTTTGACACCCATATGAGTATACTCTCCAGTGCGAGAGGGTAAACTAATTGCTCTCCAGTGCGAGCGGGTAAACTAATTCCCCAACACCCATATAGGTATGCTCTCCAGTGTGATAGGGTAAACCAATTGCTCTCCAGTGCGAGAGGGTAAACTAATTCACTGACACCCATTTGGGTAAGCTATCTAGTGCGAGAAGGCCACATCGTTCAAAAGATCGAATGCTTGAAGATCAACTAAACAACAAATGGTTAGGGGGCAGCAGCTACTTTTACACTTAACAGTTCGCTCATCCGACACTTCATCTTCAACAACTCTGATCTTGGCAGCTTCATCCTTGACTGCTCCATCTATGACAGTTGAAAAATCAAACTCAAGCAGTTTCCTCATTTTCAGCAGGCAGCCCAAAAAATTGCCTATTCCACACCACTT